GTGCACCCACTGTAAATGAAGCTCCCGTGAAAGAGGATGGGAGAAAGCAAGCACAAACGTATGCGAAAGAGTTTAGGGTACCAATGACTGTTCCATCCAGTACCACCTCGACTGTTTGCACCTGCACATCATCACTCGTGCTCACTTCAAACACCATATACTCGTGGCGCAGAACATCGGTCAGCGGTGGATAACGGTTCTACGTGAGGCTTGGAGCGACAACACCGGAATCTGTGAGGAGATACCTGATACCCAAAACACTGTCCGCACTTACTCCGTACCACAGTGTCATCGGGGTACGATATAAATACGTACTGCCCACTGCTCGCGATACTACTGGGACTGCCCGGTAAGGAAGTCACCTTCACCAGCTCACGATCTGCGGTTAAACGCAGCAGGGTAGCCCCAGAGTGAAACGGATCATATAGTAACACACAATTTTCCTGTACTACCACCAATCTGCACGCACTACACGGACTTCCGAAGTCATCGGAAAGATTGTGGACTTTCTCATATCCATCTAGACCAAACACCACAACTTCCATATTATCTACAATTGCAATGAACACATTCTGCAGCGCCACTATTGAGCTAACTATAGCGATATCAGCAACCACGCTCATGCTTATTATCTGCTCCCCGTCGTCTACATCAAACAGTCTTAGATTGCCTCCTTCACCTAATACAGCGAACAACTCATTCTTCCATGTAGCCCCGATGGTGTCCATATGGTAAAGTCTAATATGGACATTTGCATCCATACTGATAGCAGTGCCTTGGACATCAAACCAGTACGAGCTCGTCCTGCTGATCACAACCACCCGAGCAACACTGCACACGATGATTGAATCGGACGAAATGGGACCTTCCGGGTGAAATGGGATATCTAAATCAAACACAGGCGCAGCACGAGTACTGGTAGTGTATCTCATCAGCACCGGCGGACCGTTTATGCCCTTGGAAGGTACGAGAAGGAACAAGTACGCGCCAGAGTGGCATGAGCCTATCGTGGTATCCGTGCCTACTACTGTGTCAAGCGTGTAAATCAGGCTCAATGATTCTGGCGAGGGCGAAAGACTCACACTCGCACTCGCTGTGACCGAAGCAGACTGACTGGGGGTGACGGATGCCGTCGGGGATTGTGTGACCAAAGATGTTGGGCTAGCATTAGGCGAAGCTGATACAGATACACTTGCTGTTACACTTGCGCTAACGCTTGCGATTGAACTCGGGCTGACGCTTGCGGTTGATCTTGGGGTTACGCTTGCGGTCGAACTTGGGGGTATGCTTACGGTCGAATTTCCGCCTACGCTTGCGGTTGAACTTGGGGTTACGCTTGTGGTTGAACTTGGGGTTACGCTTGCGGTTGTACTTGGACTTACGCTTGCGGTTGAACTTGGGCTTCCGCTTGTGGTTGGGGAGGTGCTTTGCGTTGGTGTGGGTATTCGACTGGCAGACATGCTTGTCGTACCAGTGGGGCTGGGCGTACTGGAAGGAGTAGCCGTATGTGTTGGACTAGGGGTGTTGGAAGGGCTCGCACTCGTAGATGACGTTGGAGACGTACTCGATGATGGCATCGTGGTCGGTGATGTAGAGAGAGATGTCATGGGCGAAGGCGATGGACTGACAGCAACATTCACCAGCGAAACTAAGTTTATGTTGCTATCCTGAACTATAGCAAATGTCGGTGTGTCCTCACTATCAGTGGTACTCGGACGTCTGCGCCTGCCCGAGGATGTTAGCTGCTGTTGCGCACTGAACGCCCAAAATCGTCTATCAATGCCTCCTGTAAAAGGCGATCCCACCATTCACCATGAAGAGCCCGTATTGTCTACGGGACACGTCAAACCCATCATCTGTTGTGCGTCACTGATGTCAAACGCCAGGTATATAAGACCACCGGATACTTCGAGTTTCAGATCGTGCACGACACCGGCTGTGGCGATTGTCCCGCATGACACTGCCCGCGTGCTTGTGTGCTGTCCACTCGGGCGCCGTAATATTTTGATGACATTGCTCACAGTGTCCGATTGGGCTATGTACACAAAGGGGATATTGCCATTCGTCAGGGGCTGGGAACGCGACAAGTCGAATTGTGCGATATTCTCTGCCGTATATGCATTATACACTACCCCGCCGTCGTGACGTGAAACATCAAGACTGAATCCTGCTGGCGCCGTGTTGGTAATCAAGTACCCCCGCAGCGGATTTGTTTCATCGTATATTGTCTTGCAGTACCGTAACACCCCACTTTCTGTCGTTGTTTTGGAGTATACGAACTCCAACCATGAATTTCTCTGGACATCAAAGTATCTTGCCGATATGGAGTTGCCATTGCTGAAGACACCCCATAGCTAGCCAGTAGAGGCCATGACAGCCAGGTCGAAGTATTGCTGCCCACCAATAGTCGAGATGTCATCACCAATCCTAAAACAGTCGTAATGCGTTGTTCTCGCGCAATAGAAAATACACCACAGTGTCCTTGAATGACATTACGAGTGCCGGTTCATAACCGGTGTTGGCCAGGCTCATCCCGTTTGTAGATATGGTAATACCCACCCTCTTCACTCCGGAAGTATGCGGCGTAGTATTTGGTTGCTGTCGTGGCCATTCCAATGCCGAACTTAGCGATGGATGAGTCCCCAATGGACTTCGCCACCCACGCCCTTGACCCACAAATGTACATGGACGTGCCTGTAGTCGTACATGTTTCAGTTACGTCGCAAGGACTGGAATCACAAGCCGAAATAGCACTTGGGCTGGCAGATGGACTTGGGCTTACGCTTGCGGTTGAGGAAGTGATTTGCGTTGGTGTAGGTGTTTGACTGGCAAACATGCTTGTCGTACTAGTGGGGCTGGGCGTACTGGAAGGGCTGGCGGACTCAGATATTGACACTGTCACACTCGCCGAAGGACTTGCTGTGGGTGTCGTTGTTGGCGTCTGTGAGGCACTTGAGCTGACAGATGCAGATGCTGTGCTGATCGGCGCTGGCTGCGCTGATGAAGTCACCGTGGAATAATCGCACCCCTCCAAATCATAACTTATATCTGTCGTCAATGAAGAAGGGACCCTGTATTGAAAAGCCAATGGTTTTGTATATAAATTGAATGCGACCAGTACAAGCTCGCAAAATGACGGAGTATCGTAAACACATATCACAACTCAATTTGGGTCGTTGTGAACATCCTGTCTGTCAGAGCGATCGAAAAAATTGACTTTGTTACCCATACCCGTCAGAGCCCCATATGCACTTGCTGAACGAAACTAGGCCATAGGAGTATCTAAAGATAAAATGGATGATAACAATATAGGAACAGTGTTAGAGTAGACTTCTGAATATTGGAAGGGTAAACCGCCGTGAGCATCAATAAAATGAAACCGATGAGAGAGAAACGAGAGAACTACAAGTCTTGTACGCGGAACTATTTGAGCAGTTCCAAGTTCGAATCGTTTCTACCATTGAAAACAAGCTCCTGACATAATGTGGGGCACTGGATGATGCACCTTCAGACATAGACCAAGGCCTTACATTCTCTCCACCTTTCTCAGATTTTGAAAGCTGTACGCAGGTATAGTGAGAGGTACATCCGCACGTATCAATCTATACTCCTGTGAGGCAGAATCGGAGTGAGGTCAAAGATCACAACAAGCGCCGAGCTCAATAGTAACAAAACATATTCTCTTGTTGCTAAACCCGTTCTGCGAATCCAATTTATCGAATGTTCCACAGGCCTAGTGCTCGAACACCGCAAGTATAGCATGAAACGAAAGTATAGGCGCTACTGGCGAATGCTCAGCTGATATATACTCACAGGTATTGAAGATCTGTCGTGAACTTCAACAAATTCACTGGGATCGTCAGCAAATGTTTTCCACCCATCCACCTGTTCGAGATAAGAGATAAGAATGGACGTCAGAAAATGAATCTGCTGATTCGCCACCGTCATTTTTATCCTTTAAAATTGGCTTCGAGCATGTGAGTGTGTATTGATCCCTGAAAAACTGCACAAACGAAAACAAGCACAGAGTTTCCAACCTTAAAGCCTTTCCCTAACGAACTTTCAATGCTTACAGCTTTATGAGATGTATATCTGTCGTAAATAATCCTTCTGGCGAAGATGTCAGCAAATGACTGGTCATCGAGAGAGTCGTTAAAAGAGTAATACTTCTGAAGGCGTCCGCAGCGATCGATTCGAGTTGGATATGATTTAAATTCCTGAGGCATAGAGAGAGATCGCGTTGAGTGTTCAATAGCGTCTGGGCAGATATGTCTACTAAAACTACCACTAGGAATTCTTATTTTGCACTCTAAATTCTTTGTATGGTGATTCGTGTACCTCCCCCGCCTTTTAAAAATCTGATATGTCCATGCAACCACTATAAAATTTTGTCAACGCTTAAGCTTTGAAGGCCATGTAAAAGAATGTTCCCAAAATAAAGTATATTCTATATACTTACTGCAGAGTTGGATCTTATTCGAAGCCTACGATTCTGGCAATACAAATTTAAGCATGTATTTCAAATACACTGTCTGGCAAAAGGATTGGCTGCAATTTAGACAACATGATGCATCGCACTTACAGTGACTCCAGTTGCTTGTTCTCTTCGAAGGTTCCATTGGGAAGTATCGTCAGCTTGTTCTCTGGTATATCTCTGTTATCGCCGGAGATGATGTTTTAGTGCTCAGTCTCGTTGTTAGTGTGTAAATACGAGTGGGATGTATATTTGTCGAAGAAGCAATTCTGGTTTCAACGCATACATCATATACAAAACACTCAGAAGAGAACAGAAAACGAATAGATTGTCGCGTCCTGTAAATCAAACTTCAGTGATGTGATGGTTGAGCGTAGACTACAGTGTGCACCCACCTACCCCAAGGCATGCATTGCTTGTTGTACAAATTGAATTATAGTGTAAGAGCACCCACAGTTGCTAGTGCCTGTTCTTATCAAAGACTTCGCATGGAAGAGATGGGTCACTGTTGTAGCTTCTCAGATCATGGCTATTGAGCCATAATCAGTTTGTACTTTGATATCTCGTTTTCATTCTCGAAAGAACATAACCAAATATACTTATTATATGTATTTACAAATATTTTAAAAACCATCAGTTTTTAAAACACTTCGCTGGATATGGTTTGCAGTTCATTTCTTCTAACGTAGCTGTCGAGGGCAAGAAGAAAGTCCAGAGTGAGAAGGTGCCACATATCAAACTCCAACATAGAGCGATTAATCTAAACTAAAAAGCGCCTCATAAGTGACCGCACATACAGAACTATTAGTCTAAAGTTTTTTAAGGCCATGTAAAAGCATGTTCCTAAAATAAAGTATATTCTATATACTTACTGCAGAGTTAGATTTTATTCGAAGCCTACGATTCTGGCAATAAAAATTTAAGCATGTATTTCAAATACACCGTCTGGCAAAAGGTTGGCTATAATTTCGACTCAGATTATGGGATACGGTACCGCGACTTTCGAAGATTTTTGATACTCGACATGTACTATAGAGTCAATATGCGTCCTAGAGCATGGTGTGTGATGCAGTCGAGAATTTCTGTTCACTAAAGGACGCCAACAAGCACAACGATCAAACATTTGTTAATTAATAAAGCTCAGGTAGTGATCAACATGGTGCATCGCACTTACAGTAACTCCAGTTGCTTGTTCTCCTCGAAGATTCCACTGGGAAGAGTAGTCAGCTTGTTGCCTGATATAACTCTGTTATCGCCGGAGATGATGTCTTAGTGCTCGGTCTTGTGAGTAAGATGTTTATTTATCGAAGAAGCAATTCTGGGTTCAACGCATACATCATGTACAAAACACTCAAAAGAGAATAGAAAACGAATAGATTGACGTGTCCTTTAAATCAAACTTCAGTGATGTGATGGTTTAGCGTAGACTGCAGTGTGCATCCATCTACCCAAGGCATGCATTGCTTGTTGTACAAATTGAATTATACTGTGGAGCACCCACTGTTGCTAGTACCTGTTCTTATCAAAGACTCTGCATAGAAAAGATAAGTCACTATTGTAGCTTCTCAGATCATGGCTATTGGGCCATAATCGGTTTGTACTTTTGATATCTCGTTTTCATCACGAAAGAACATAACCAAATTTACTTCGTATATTTATATATATTATGAACACCAGTTTTGAGAACACTTTGTTGGATATGGTTTGCAGTCCATTTCTTCTAACGTAGCTATCGTGGGCAATAAGAAAGTCCAGAGTGAAGATGCGAGATATCAAACTCAAACATAACAGCGATTAATTCTCAGAGTACATGCGAATATTAGTCTAAAACTTTGAAGGCCATGTAAAAGCATGCCACCAAAACGGAAGTACATACTATTGCGGCGTTTGATATTATTCGAAGCCTATGGTTATGGCAATAGAAATGGAAGTGTGTATTTAATATTCATCCTCTGGCAACATGTTGGTGTACTTAATACTCCATGGGCATACGAACATGTGACATCGACTGTGGGATACGGAACCGAGATTCATAGCTTTTTAAGACTTGACATGTACTAGTGAGCCAAAATGCGTGTTCTAAAGCATGGTGTGTGGATGCAGTCGAGAAATTCTGTTCACTAAAGGACGCATCAAACATTTGTTAACTGATAAAGCTCAGGCAGTTATCAACATTGTGCATCGCGCATACAGTAACTCCAGTTGCTTGTTCTCCTCGAAGATTCCACTGGGAAGAGTAGTCAGCTTGTTGCCTGATATAAGTATGTTATCGCCGGAGATGATGTTTTAGTGCTCAGTCTCGTTGTCAGTGTGTAAATACGAGTGAGATGTATATTTATCGAAGAAGCAAATCTGGATTCAACGCATACATCATGTACAAAACACTCAAAAACGAACAAAAAAAATAGATTGTCACGTCCTTTAAATCAAACTTAAGTTATGATGGTTTAGCGTAGACTGCAGTGTGCATCCAAATACTCCGAGGCATGTACTGCTTGTTGTACAGATTCAAATAATATGTAAGAGCACCCACAGTTGCTAGTGCCTGCTCTTATAAAAGACTCCGCATGGAAGAAGTGATAGATCCTTGTTGTAGCTATTGGGTCGCAATCGTACTAGTACTTTTGATATTTCTCATTCATTCTCAATGGTACAAATCGCGTGGAAGTGGTTTCACAATTATTCTTTGTATGTAAATGTGTATGAGCTAGATTTACTACATATACTTACAAGGTTCGCAGATACCCCAATTTTGAAAACATTTCGTTGGATATGGGTTGCAGTTCATTACTTCTAACGTACCTATCGAGGGCAATAAAAAGGTCCAGAGTGAGAAGGTGCCACATATCAAACTCAAACATAGTAGCGATTAATTCTCAGAGTACATACGAACTCTCAACAAAAAGCGCTTCAGAAGTGACCGCAAACGCATAAATATTAGTCTAAAATATTGAAGGCCATGTAAAAGCATGCAACCAAAATGGAAGTACATACTATTGCGGCGTTTGATATTATTTGAAGCCTATGGTTCTGGCAATAAAGAATGGAAGTGTGTATTTCATATTCATCCTCTGGCAACATGTTGGTATACGTATTACTCCATGGGCATACGAACATGTGACATCGACTGTGGGATACGATACCGAGATTCATAGATATTTAAGACTCGACATGTACTCGTGAGCCAAAATACGTTCTAGAGCATGGTGTTTGGATGCAGTCGATAATTGCTGTTCACTAATGGACGCCAAAAAGCACATCAATCAAAACATTTGTTGATGAATAAGGCTCAGGTAGTGATCAACATGGTGCATCGCACTTACAGTGACTCCAGTTGCTTGTTCTCCTCGAGATATTACAGATCGCGCGCGAAAGTGATATCACAATTCTTTCTTGCGTAGATTTGGTACAAGTTCACCAAGATTTACAAAATATACTTACAAGGTTCGGAGAACTCCCAGACTTGAAAACTCATCGCTGGATATGGTATGCAGTTCATTCTTCTCAATGTAGCTACCGAAGGGAACAAAAATGTCCAGAGTGAGAAGGTGCCACATATCATACTCAAACCTAGTAGCGAGCAATTCTCAGAGTAGA